GAATTAACCACCCCAGGAATGAAGGGCCATTACAAACTTCATCACTGTCCACATGTCTTTGACCTCGCCTTCTAAATTAATTTGATTTTAAAAAATGCGTTTAATCGGCGTTTTAATCACACTGTTAAACAATAATAGAATACCATTTATTTAAATATATTCTGCCGTTTTCTACTTTTTCAAATACATTGATTTCAATTACAACAGACTATAAAGTGTACAGTGCTCACTTTATATTATTTTTATTATATTTTTACAGTGCAAATATTTGTAAACAAAAGAAATAGTCTTTTTCAACTCACCTCATACACGTACTGTAGTACAATCATGAAAATGCAACTTACAAATGTAGAATTATTATTATTATTTTACATAGTGTCTTCTGGAATGGTGGCTGAATGGAATTTTAGGTGGCATTGTAAATAAGAAGCTAGCAGCATTGTCTCAAACAAACTTGTTTGTCTTAGCAATTGGCTTCACAAGAAGTTTAACATTCTTTTGGTTTTTGTTTTGGTTTTGAGTGCAGTTATGTAACAAAAAAAATCTACATTTGTTAGGTGCATTCCATTTTCAATAAAGAAATTGCACTACAGTACTTGTATGAGATAAACTGAAAAATAGTATTTCTTTACATACAAAATGGGAAATGACTGCCTATGAAGGAGTACTGCGGAAAGGGATATGGAGGTCATAGTGGACCACAAGCTAAATATGAGTCAACAGTGTAACGCTGTTGCAAAAAAACCTGAACATTATTCTGGGGTGCATTAGCAGACATCTTGTAATCAAGGCACGAGAAGTAATTCTTCGACTCTACTCCGCGCTGATTAGGCCTCAATTTGAGTACTGTGTCCAGTTCTGGGTGCCACATTTCAGGAAAGATGTGGAGAAATTGGAGAGAGTCAAGAGAAGAGCAACAAAAATAATTAAAGGTCTAGAAAACATGATCTATGAGGGAAGATTGAAAAAATTGGATTTGTTTAGTCTGGAAAAGAAGAGACTGAGAGGGTACATAACAGTTTTCAAGTACGTAAAAAGTTGTTACAAAGAGGATGGAGAAAAATTGTTCTTAACCTCTGAGGATACGACAAGAAGCAATGGGCTTAAATTGCAGCAAGGGAGGTTTAGGCTGTACATTAGGAAAAACTGTTTAGTTGCTTCTGAAAATTTGTCAGAGATAAGCTGTAGGCCGCTTTCACTATGACTATGTCAGGGTGGTTAAGCACTGGAATAAATTGCCTAGGAAGGTAGTGGAATCTCCATCATTGGAGATTTTTAAGAGCAGGTTAGACAAACTCCTGTCAGGGATGGTCTAGATAATACTCAGTCCTGCCATGAGTGCAGGGGACTGGACTAGATGGCCTCTCGAGGTCCCTTCCAGTCCTATGATTCTATTATTTATCTTTTTTTACAGTGCAAATATTTGTAATACAAATAATATAAAGTGAGTACTGTACACATTGTATTCTGTGTTGTAATTGAAATCAATATATTTGAAAATGTAGAAAACATGAAAAATACTTAAATAAATGGTATTCTATTATTGTTTAACAGTGCGACTAAAACTGTGACTAATCGAGATTAATTTTTTTAATCCAGCTAATTTGTTTTGGGTTCATTGCTTGAGATAACTGTGACTGACAGCCCATATATCTATATCTATCTATCTATTATAATTTTATAATATTATAGAATATAAAAATATTCATAAAACAAAAACCCTTCTCCCTCCAGGGAGTAGATGAGAGAACAAAAGCATGACATATATTAATCAAGTAACTTTATGCACTACTGGAAAGTGCTCAGATATTACAGTGATGAGAGTGGTGTAAGAATCTTCATAGAATAGAACAGAAGAAATTAAAAGAATATCATTACTGATAAAATTTGCAAATGATAAAAAGATTGGGGACTGGTAAGTAATGAAGAGGACAGGAACTGTTCAACATGGTCTGGATCTCAGCAATCAGCAATATGTGTTTCAATATGGCCAAATGTAAGATCTTACCTTTAGGAACAAAGAATGAAGACCATACTTACAGAATGGGGGATGTTATCATGGGAAGCAGTAACTTTAAAAGACTTGAGGATCATGGTGGATAATATTGAGGATCATGGTGGATAATAAACTGAACATGAGCTCTCAGTGCAACACTATGGCCAAAAGGTCTAATGAGGTCTTTGGATGTACAAACAAAGAAATATCGGATAAGAATAGGGAGGTTATATTACCTCTGTATTTGGCACAGGTACACCTACCATTGGAATACTGTGTCCAGTTCTGGTGTCCACAATTCAAGGATGTTGAAAAACTGGAGAGGATTCAGAGAAGAGCCATGAGAATAAGTAAAGGACTGGAAAACATACCTTTTAATGAGAGATGCAAGGAGCTGAATTTATTTAGCTTGTATGATGGAATATACCCTGTATTCACACCCATCATGCTACTGTAATAATCTTTGTACAAAGTATGCCTGTAGGTATCTTTTGAAAACTCAAAATCTGCTGGTCAGTATTGTCCTGGTAAAATATGTGTGGCAACACTGTACGTGAAGTTAAAAGATTCCAGTGTGTGGTGTTAACAATACGTGTGGTGTTAACAATACATGTTCCAAACCCCAGAACCCTGCCCAAACAGAAGCTGGCAAACCGATCTGTCCTAAACAAAGAAATGTGTGCTTGCCTTAATTTACATTTAAGTAGTAAACAGAGTCATCAAGCAGGAAGGGAAGACAAAGGAAGTTCAAACAGGTGAAAAAACCAGGAGGGAACGAGACTCCTGGATCTCAGGTGGAAATTTTTTCAAGAGGGGGACTGAAACTATAAAAAGGAGGCACAAACATTCCAATGCACCTCTTTTTCTCTCCCTGCCCATCGCATTCACTGTACCTGAGGAGACAAAGAAAGCAGCCACTGGACTCTGTGGGAGAGGTCCTGACCTAAAGACTTTGGTCAGTAAGACTGCTGAAAGCATGTGGTGAGAAAACTTTGCTTTGAATCTATAAAGTTTCTTAAGTTAGGCACCAGTAAGTGTTTTATCTTTATTTTTCTTGTAACTATTTCTCACTTTTATGCCTCATTACTTTCACTTAAAATCTCTCTCTTTTTAGTTAATAAACTTTTTTTATTGTTTTATCTAATCCAGTGTGCTCAAACTGAAGTACTGGGTAATGTCATTTGGAGAAACAAATTGTGAGCATATAATTCCCTTAAAGAAATAATGGACTTACTATATTCGTACGGTCCAGGAGCAGCGGGGCAGAACAGGACTATCATGGGGTGTATGTGCCACATGCTAGCCCAGCAACCAAATGGGTAATACAGGCACTGCTGGCCACAGCTGATCTGCATTTTCACAGCAGCTGGGAGAATAAAAGGGCTGGGAAGCAGAAGAGGGGGGAGGCTAACAGGAAAGTGAGCAGACTGGAAAAAGGAACGTCTGTGCTAGAGAGACGCCCGGGGACAAACACCCCAGAAAAGCAGCAAACAGGCCAACAGATTGAAGAGCCTACAAAGGCCTGAGGGAAGGTAGAAAGGAGCTCAGGGCACTGTCAGAATCGGCAAATCCTTATTCTACTTGTCTAGCCTGAGGGCCCTGAACTGGTATCCAGAGGAGTGCGTTGGCCTAAGTTCCACTCACTGGCAGACCTGAGAACAAAGAGTTTCCAGATTCCTGGACACCAAGAATGGACTGACCACCCTGCTGAGCTGCGTGATCCAGAGCCACACCCGCCTGTTTGTCCAGGGGGGCACTGTTGCATGGACACTGCCTCACAAGGCCTTATGTTTCTGGGGAAAAATATGGGACTGGGATTGTGTTCGGATCACCCTGTAATAATTTTTAAGGCTAGTAAGAGCCAAGGTATGGCTGGCTGGCTGGCTGCACAACACTCACAGACATAGCTGGGAGTGACTTACATGCTGGAGGCTGTTTGTGAACAGTCTAGGTTGGGGGCCACAGCAGCAAAACATTGTAAAGGGCACCACAGGTTATAGGGCAGGGGTGACACAGCTACTCAGTCTGGATTGTACCCTGGTATGTCACAGCTTGTTCAAGAGAAGGTTAAGGGATAACTTAATCACAGTCTACAAGTGCCTACATAGGGAACAGAAATTTTAAAATAGAGGCCTCTTCAATCTGTCAGACAAAGGTATAAAAAAGCTCAATGGTTGGAAGTTGAAGATATACAAACTGAGACTAGAAATAATGTGCAAATTTTTAACAGAGAGGGTAATTAACCATTGGAGCAACTTACAGGGGCTGTTATGGATTCTCCACCACTGGAAATTTTAAAATCAAGATTGGATGTTCTTCTAACAGATATGCTCTAGTTCAACCACAGCTATCGGATTTGCAAAAGGAATTAATTCAGGAAAGGTCTACAGCCTGTTTTATGTGGAGGTCAGACTAAATTATAAGAATGGTCCCTTTTGGCCTTAAAAACTGAATCTATGAAAACAGAAGAGCTAACAGACTTTGCTGCAAATGCGACTATAGTATTTGATATTCAGAGAGGTCAGACAGGATAATCAAAATAGGCTCATCTGATTTAGAAATGGAAGACCCAGGTACAGCAGATGATTCAGGGATTGTTCCATGATAGTTCTGGGTACTGAATGCAGGAGGGACAAAGATCCAGAAGTTGAGGATTCAAGCAAGTTGCTCTTCATAAGACATTTCTTTCCCCTTTTTTTTAATTTGCTTTCTGACTCACGTTGAGTAAAAGTGTTGTTCTCTTGGGAAGGGGCAGGAGTATGCTTCTCATACTTACTCCACAGCAAGGCAGAGCAAGACTGCGGAATGAAAGGCATAGGATGCTGTCCAGGATCTTTAGTGCAAAACTTTTGCCATAGTTCAATGTGTGCTACCACCTATCACAGATGTAATCACATCAAACAACACAAAAGTTTCTAACTAGTTTACCAGAACTGCAGAAAGGAGAATGACAATGGAGACAAAAGATGCACAAGGAGCCTCAGTTTTGTCAAATGCTACTTACGCCAAGAGCAGCTTGGTAGGTGACCTCAGATGGGAAGGTAAATGAAGGCCCAGTTGTAACCGGGCTGCTAGGGGGTGGGGTCACAATTAGTCCTGTGGTACTGATATGAACCTGTCAAAAAAAAAAAAAAAAAAGATTGATGTCAGTTTTAGGTAGTTCCTAAAACAATATCTTGTCATGGTAGATTGGTACACTTTTTGATTAATGTACTACCAGCACTCTTCTGTGAATACCACCATCAGCAACTTTAGCTTGTTTCTTTGACTTTCTGGTAGTAATTTACATAGAATATTTGTATTAGATGACACTGCTAATTTTTCAGGCTCTATATAAGACAGAAATGATCTTTCAGAAAAACTGGCAGATATACATGCAACTAACTGGGTGAAAAACACTATATGTTTATTTTTCTCTTAATAGCAGAGAGCAAATGAGTTTAAATATAAAACATTTAATTAGTTTGTAAGCTTTATGTGAAATCCTCTTAGCATTTTATAGCTTTCTTTAATATATTCTCCCCACAACTGTCAACTTTACAAGTACTGTACTACAGAAGATTGTTCATCAAAGACAGTAATGTGTAATCAAGACATTAGAAGAACACTCAAGGTTTTTTAAAAATAGAATCAGATATAATCTAATACTCTCCCTTATCAGTATCAGAAATAACATCAGAGATTGTTCAAAGTCCAAGAGTGTCTGAAATCAAATTTATCTTTTACCATGTATGCTCTTTGTTAATTTTCAGTATTTTATTCAATTTGGACAAAATTCAACTGAGTAGTCCAGTTTCTTGTTCCCATATATTATAATAAATCTGCTAATGGTTTTCTTTTATTTACAGCACTTGAACAAAATGCTTAAACTGAAAAACCTTTCTATTCACATTACAATAGGCTTTGCACAAAAAAAAAAAAAATCCCCCAAAACCCCTAAATTTGGAGCCTAAACTAGTAGAAAACATCCCTTTACATATAATTTATTACATATGTTTAGTTTGAAAAGGATTTGAAGCCTTTATTATGACAAAAATGCTTTAGAATATTCACTAAAATGTATTAAATGTTTTGTATTTAATTTCAGGTAGCTTACCTGAGAAGGAGCACTGCAGGAGAGGCCTGTCAGTTCACTTATTCGGGCAGCCGCTGTGGGGTTACTGGAGCTGATGAGGACAGGAGGACTTATTTCCATTGAGTGACGGTTTTGAGAAGACTGCGAGGACTTGTTGGACATGGTAAGGGAGGTAAAGGAATGCCGTTTTTTGGTGTTCTTCTTTGTATCAGTGTGCTTTTGGACTGAATTGTTGTGGGATGCCCCAGAGGTACCTTCTCCAGAGTCAACAACAGAACCTGAGGGCTTATCCAACTCTATCAGCTGCTTGGCTGCCGTATTAAACTGCAAAACAACCAACACATTAAGAAATGATTTTAGAAATCTTTAAGAAAATTAAAGAAATAGTTGACTAGACAGAGGAAACACTTCTAGACCTTACTTTTATTCATAAATAAGAATCAAACTGAAAACTATAGAATTCAGAACTCTTTATGATGTACTGACTCACTCTACATCTAGATGCCCTACAGGTACAAGTCTTTCACTATAACCTACTTAAGTGAAGTTTGACATGGTCATTCCACACTAAGTCTTTTGAGCTTTTCCAAAGAGATACAACACAAGCCTGAAGACCTAATGCTTTTGTGGTCACTTCTGTTAATGGATTTCACAACTCTTGCATGTTTGATTAGCAGAAGCAGTAATAAAAGCAACAGACTTTTGGTTTTAATTTATCCATTAATATCTTGTCCATTATGATAAATTACACTATATTAAGTAGGCAACTAAATCCTGTCTCTGTAATAAAGAAATAAAGGATCTTGGGCATTTTAATCTTCTGACCGTCAGAAGATTAACACTAGATAAAATAAAATAAAATAAAATTGAGAAGGGTAAGAGTTTATTCTTCATAAAACCATGTTATTAACTGCCAGGAATTTCTATGTATAGCTTAAAACTGTTGTAAGAAGCAGTATAGGGAGACACATTCATTCACGAACTAAAGTACATCAATACAAGTAGACTGCAAGTGTTTCTTTAAACATATTAATCCTCATTAAAAATAATGCCAATTTTTAGTGTGAATAACCTCTATTTGGAAAATTCGTTTGTATTTTGCCAGGGGGTGGGGGGCAGGGAGGCATATTTTTTCATGAAGAACCAAGTAAGAACAATCAAGAGGAAAGTATAGGATTATTTACTATGGAGTCACTGTTTTTTCACGTCAGCATAGTCTATTCTTTATTTACCTTAGCCATTTTCCTGGGAGCCACAAGACTCCTGCTATGTTCAGGGGAAGTTTAAAAAAATGCTTTATTTTACCAAAACCTCACTATATAATTACTGTATTATTTGTATTCTGGCAGCCCCCACACTGAGCTAGGTGCTGTCCACACAAAGGAAGCCAGCCCATGCCCTGAACAGCTTACAATCTAAGAAGGTAAGTACTATACAAAAGGTGGGAGATAGGGATAAAATATACTATCAAAATAGTGTGTGCTTGTACATGTGTGTACAAATATGCCCACATGCATACATATACAGACTTTATTAAAAATATTAACTATCCCCAACTGACTTCTACTTTAGCCAGTATTAGTTGGCAAATTTCATGTAGACTTCATAATACAAATGGGTCTTTAACTGGGATCTGAAGGATCTGTTCAGGGAGGAAATTCAATGCCAGTGGGAGTGTGTAGAAAAAAACACATGTGGGAGAAACAGATAAATGGGGGTAAAGGCTGGAATTGCCAGAGTAGTGGAGGATCAATATTAAAACAGACAAAAGCAGATAAGCAGGAAAGGGCAGAGCTGTGGAATGCCTGGAAGGCAAGGACAAAAGGTTTGAACTTAGTGTCATGGAAAGGGGGAGTCAGTGGAGGCATTCAAAGGGTGGGATGACATGGTCAGAGCAATAATACTGAAGATGATCTTACTGTTTTGAATGGAGTAGAGAAGAGCAATAGGAATTTCACAGAAGACATAGGATTAAACAACATGGTGGTAAACATTTCCAAGACCTGTGTATACTATGACTTCCCCTGTTGCTACCATTGGTGGTGAATTATATCTTTCAAAGACTGTTAGTGCAGGCAAGGCCACAGATAACTTAGGGTAGTCCTGTTCCATTGTAGAAAGACCCTAACCATAATGGTTATACACACAGCTCTGCCAATGAATTTGCAAAACCATGCTCCTTATTTAGTATTGAAATTCAACATTTTATAAAAAGACTAAAAACATGTTTTTAAGAAGCTTAGGGAAACATTTTATGCTAATTTATTACAGTGCTTTAAATTGATTAAATTCCAGATACGTGGGTTGGAGGACACAAAGCAAGAAAAAAAAATGTTAACAAGAAGCTGAAGAAAATTGCTCTGCCACTTGAATTTTCATGGTTCTATCCTGCAGACTGGATAAGTAGCTAGGCACTGTGAGGATTAGACATACTGCAGATTTTGTACTCATATCCATTTTATTCTTCCATCTCAGATTAAAATTCTTCATATCATTCACAAGAATATGCACATCCTAACTTCTAGCAAAACATGTTTTAAACAATGGCAATGACAGTTTAAATTCCCATCCATTTCTATTCTGTCTGCAATGTATGTAATGAAGATTTTGTTCCCAGATGACCCAGAATTACAGAAAGAAAACCAATACTTCATTTATAAAGCAAGAATCACCTATTGGGGAAGAGCAATTAAATGAGTGAAAGGGCTTACCCAAGGGTCTCAAAAACCACTGCTAAAAGCTTCCTCAGGTAACTGTTCCACTTAATTATGTTTGTTTACTTTCTGAAACTAATAATGCCTGCAGGATCTGTTTCCTCTATTTAGAGGGAACCCCAAATTAGAGAAAGATTTTTGGCATGTTTATGGGATTAATCCAAGATTAGTCAAGCATAAGGAATCTGCTGAACTCTCTTAGGCAGGGAAACAAACACAAAAGAGCAGCACATAGGCTAAACCTACGTGGAATGCACTGGCTATTGGCCTTTCCTTAAAATAATATGGAGACTGTAACAGTTACAGAGTATAGCTGCTTGCTTCTTCCTTGGGATAGGAAAGGGAGAGCTCATCCAGTCTGCTCTCGTGTGCCTGAGCTGCAGACACATCAGAGGATCAGTGAAGCATACATCCCCACCCCTAACTACAAAGCACAAGGAAATAAGCCACACCACATTTATGTTCCATTTATTAGTTCCCTCTTCTCAACCTCAACCACCTGTCATCTACCACCCACAGCCCACCTTCAACCTGAATACCAATGGGCACACTTGAACTCTGACTAGAATTTACTAATTATATATTCATGTGTTTTCATGATCAATATAGAATTGGTATGGCTTTCATAAGTTACATTGTAGGTAGTACTGTAAGGGATTTAGTATAGGTGTGCGTATATAAATAAATCTGGTGTCCAATTGCAAATGGTGAGTGCAAGACTGGTTTTCGATAGTGCTTAAGAAAGCTTGTATGAATTGGTTATATATGTTTTTAGTGATTGTTCTAAAGTTTGTGTTCATGATAATGTAGAAATTACAGAACTGAAGACCTTCACCATATAGGCTACAATGAATGTATTGCCCTTTAGCCTTTTCTGGTACGAACAGTTAGCTAAGTTTCATCTCAGCACTTTCATTCAGCATTAGGCTGGGCTAAGTCTCTCTCAGTCAAGGATCCTTGATTGTGAAATTCCCAAACAGACTACTTTTTGGGCACACTTCAAGACCCATTTATTTCCTTTGGCTTATCTATTTTGAGGACCCTTTTCAATGTGAATGTAAAGGTTATTTACAATGAATACTTCTCTTTAAATAAATTTGACATGTACCAGAGCATGATTTTTCCATTAAGAACATGAAGTACTCTTTTTGAAAGCAATGAAAAACATTGACTTTTGAATAATTTTTCCATTGTACATTCCAGGCTGACAAGACAAGTGAAGGCAAGTTTATATAAAACGTTTAATTCGACTGTTCTTGATTTAATATTACTAGAAGAGACTAATTTTTTCCCCAACACTATAATTAAGACTACTTTGTCTAATGGTGATCAACAGCGAGTCTAGCCTAATAAATGCAAGATTTTAAAAGTACTGAGTCAGGAATTCAAACTCCCTAAAAGGAATGGAGATAATTAAAAAATGAAACATGTTAAACTACTTTTTTGATGGGTTGGGGCTAGGGCAGGAAGAAGAGGGCTAGTAAGGAACACGACTAATTTGGTAGGTAAATCTTGAGTTCTCAGTGACTAAACTCACAAACTAAGGGATGGATGCATTAGACATTATACTATCTTCTTAAAATTCTACCAAAATGAACATTTCACTTGTATTGTTAATACTTGTATGTTTTGTGCATTTGGCATAGATTCACTTTTTTAAAGACTACAGGTGGATTATTGTAAGAGTGCCTGCCATTCATTCCACTGCAGTTTCAACAAGTTACTTCACATTTCAGAAATCTGAAAATAATATTTTCCTTTCTATATGCCCTATAACTGAAAAGTGTTTCCCAAAAAACTTTTTACTCCATTATATGTACCACTTTACTTTCTAGCTGTTACTGGAGACTTAAAAAATCTTTATATTTGGAGGAACGCCTATGTGGATTTCATTTCTTGTTGAAGAAAGAAAGAAAGGATAAAATGTGGTGTTTATTTAAGAATGTACATTGTACTCAGCACTATAGACTATGCATACCGTGATACAGCATGGCCAGAAGGCAGCAGGAGAGGGATACAGGAAAGATATGTAAGTCCCACGATGAGGAGAAGCCTTATTCCATGTAGAGGGAAGAAAGGTTTCTATAGATTAATTAAAAGCACCTGAAGCCAATTAGAGCACCTAAAGCCAGTCACCTGATAAAACCCCCTGCTTCAATCAGCCAGGTGAAGGAGTTGGAGCAGAGTGGTTTGGAGTTGGAGCAGAGAGCAGTTTGAAGGAATTAAAGCAGAGGAGAATTTGGAGAAGAACAAGACCCTAGGTAAAGAGACACGTGGCTTGTGCAGAGAGAGGGCAGGAAGCCCACAAGCTGAAGAGCAGGAGAGGGAAGTAGCCCAGGGGAAGGAAGCACTAGTTCAAGTGGTTTGCCACTATCCCTAGGGCCTCTGGGCTGGGACCTGGAGTAGAGGGCGGGTTACTAGTGTGACAGTAGATACCCTAGTTCAGGGGCAGGAAACTGCGCCCTGAACACCCCCCCACACACAAGAAGAGGAAGTGCAGGACCCATCATAATTGTGCCAGCAATTTGCCACAATACTGATTGGTCTTGACTGGATAACTCTGGTACTCCTGGCGCTCAATATAGAGGCCTGTCGACCTGCCACCCCCTC